CATTTATATATAATCTGAATAATAATACATAACGCTCTTATTCAATCTGTCTCAACAAAAAAATATTAACAATTATACTATATAATATTAAACTATTTGGAATTTAAATTAAAAAAAAAAAAATAATTTATTACAATAACTGTACTAATATAATTTTTCAAATATATCGTTTTTTCTATAATATACGTACTATTTGAGTTAATATACAACCAGTGACAGATATAATCCCTTAACAATTTCTATGATATAAATTAAAATATTTTTTATCAATTTTTTATCATTTTCATTAAATGTTTTATAATTACTTTATTCTTGTTTTGATGTTATAGTTATCTGTAAGGTGACATTTTTAATAATTACACAATAGTTAACAATTCTCAAGTGTTTTTCTAGACGAATAATAAGTACAATTAAATGTGATACAAATCAAATGACTCTGATATTTTAGTACTTCATAATATTTATATTACTACTACTTAAACATTTAACAACCATGCGATATATTTGCCTCATATTTTAGTTGTTATTAACATATAAGTACTAAGAAATATATATTATACACCAAATATTACAAAAAAAATTATATTTCTCGAAATTTACATCAAATAAATCAAAATAAATATTTAATTTATATCATAAAAATTAAAATATTCATATTGAATAGTAATAATAAGTATTAATGATAAAAATATGAAAACTAATTTGAATCAAATTTTAATTGTAATAAATTATTTTACACGAAAATATAAATTTTATAAAAATACACAACAAATATTTAAAAGCAATCCAGACCAATAAGTCATATTCCTTTTTAATACTTTTAACATCATTTTATCCATTTTTGTAATTATAAATTTATACTATTTCAACTATAATTGTTCACGAGGTATAATATTCATACAGTTTGTAATATATTATATTCTTATTGCATTATCTGAATGTGATAGTGTTTTATATTTTTAATACATGCGTCAAGATGTCGGAGTTTATTCATAGCAAACAAGCAGTTATCCAATAATGTTAGTAAGAGGGCCGAAAACCACTATTGTTATCGATGAATAAATATTTGTTTATTTGTTCAGTTAAAAAGATAAAAATTGTGACAAGCGGATTAATAATATAAAACAACATGTATTTTTTTCTTCGTATAACTATGAGAAAAAGGAATAGACTTTTTTCAATATTAAATTCCAACCAATTAGGAATTGCTAGTTTTAGTTCCAGTACTAAAATATAATCAAGGTAAAGGGGAAGGTGTTACGTCTGTAGGTTGGTTCTTAAGACATTTTAATTTCTACAAAATAGTTCTAATTTATATATTTATGATATTTATAATTCAATTTTACCACATTTTTAATACTCAAAAATTTGTTAACGAAATACTCTTATAATTAAATATTGAAGTGTCAAGTAGGTACTTAGTAGTTGTGTTTAATGCTGAATACAATTTAGATTTTCTATTTTGTCAACTATTTTTTTAGAATACACGATTTATGTCATTAATAGTTATTCAATATTTTATGTAGCAAATATTACTACGAACCAAATTTTTATTTAATACACTTTATATAATCTCCCACATTTCATAGCATCTGAATATTCAAAGTTAAAATTGACAAATATAAAAATTTACAGAATAAAGTTAATGATTTATTATTTCGTAGTATTTTTTTTTTTATTCTTTTATAGTGATGTTATCAGTATATGTACTTAATGATTCAATAATTATAAATAAAGGTTTGGTTGTTTGGTATACTTGAATATAGTTTAAATACCTATTCAACTTACTTTTATAAAATATTCCAATTACTTTCAGTTGTATTTATATATGTTTTGTAACTAATAAAATTAGAATAATTATAAAAATAAATATTATTATGTATTTGGTGGCATATTTACAGGGGATATTTTGGGGATTAAAACACCTCTAATATTTATAAAAATAAATGATTATGGCAACGCAGTCAAAACTTTGTCTATATTTAATTCCAAAAAATATTCAAATATATTTAAATTATTCATCATTTTCGCCACACTCCCAGTTTTAATTGCATAGAACAAAAGATCATTTTCGTCATTAAAAATTATAAAGACTTATTTACGTAATATTATAGACCAATTGGGTCCACTTTTTTATTTTACTAAGACTATAATAATAATAATAATAATAATTGTTATCTAGTCTTAGTATATACTTAATTAGTAATATAATTATTATAGAATGTAATTCATTTATAATTGGTATCTCTAAAAAAGATGTAATGGTTGGCTAAGCTTTCAATCAATTGGAAGGATCGTATTGAAAGAAATCAAGTACTTTTTAACGAATTGGCATTAAAAAAAATATGTCTTCCATTAACACTATAAAATTAATTTATAAATGTATGCAAACTTTAATACATTTATTTATGAAATTACCCACTCACTGATCTAAAATTAGTCAATATTTTATTCAGTTCAATTTTACATATTTTATTTCAGTAATAATTATAGTCAAACATTTAAATAGTAATCATAATTTTTTCTTAACAAGAAAATTCTCACTAATAAGGTGTTTCTATAATCGTTATCACATACTAATAAGACATGCTAATATTTTCAAGGCTCTAATGCAGTAAGTAGTTGATTATAAATTATAGAAAAATTTAACTAATAAAACTAATTTTCAACAAATGAGTAATATATTGTAAATATTACAATATTTTGAAAAATTATAGGGATTATTATAATTTATAGGGAGTAAAACTTTCTATATGACTTTGTTATATAAATATACTATGATAATATTTTTGGAGAAAAAAGTAGAAAAAAAACTTCAATTATATAAATTTACATCAATTAAATAAAACAAATTGTTAAGGTTTCTTTTTAAAACCAACAAAAAATGAATTGCAATATATTACTATAGTTCAAATAATATTTAAACCATATTTTTAATAAAGAATTGAGATATGTAAAAATGTAATACTATATACATATTTGTATGAATAAATACATAAGTTTTTTTTCGTTAACATTAATATTAAATAAGCATAATAATTTTCAAAACATTTTTAATTAAAAAAATTATGTTTTTTTGGCATTTTATGATAGAGCTCAAATAAAAACTAACACTAGTTAGTAATTTCTTTAAATTATTACTAGGTAGTCATAAAATATTTCTAACCTAATTAATGAATAATTCTAAAATTATTATATGACTAAAAGATATTAAGATGATAAAAAGTTTATAAAGCATTTTCATTCAATAAAAATTCTGAGTATAGTTCATGTCTGATAGTTTATAAGTATTATTGTACAATAAATAAATAAAAATCAAAAGTTTGGTGATTTTTGCTTAAATTAAACACTTAATGGGTTGCATAAATGTTCATTAGAGATTTAGAGCTATTAACGCAATAATGATCCATTAAAAAAAAAAAACCACCATTTTTATTATATTTCTTTTTATGTTAGTAAAATTAGTTTAAAATGCATATTAATTTTTCCTATACCTAGCATATTGTAATTTATAATTTACTATTAAGGTTACCTGTCAAACACATACCTTAATATTTTCGATGACATTCTTATGAGGAATTACCAAATCAATTTCCATTGCTTTTTCTTTTTTAGCAAAGTTTTATTCCTAATACGTTTGGTAGCAGTGGCGGATCCATTTTTTTTTTGCAGGGGGGAGTTGAAAAATGTTTTCTTTGGGACATTTTTTATAACATTGCAGTCAGTGATTGATAATGAATTTAGATAATAGTAAGTAATATAATATATTAATTTAAATTTAAAGCTACTATTTTTTTGTATCAATAAAAATACAAAATATATACTTTCCCTCATGCTTTAAAAAAAAAAAAAAAAAATCTCTTTCTTAAGTCATAAAATTATTGATTTTTAATACATATTTTTCCTGATTTGGAGTGGGTTAACCCCTAAACCTCTCCGTGGATCCACCACTGTTTGGTAGCCATCATAAATGATTAAACTGACGTACCGTTTAATATAATGTATATTGTATAATAATAAATATTAGCATAGAAAATAAGGTAAGTCAAAAAGTGAGTAGTTTGAATACTTTTTTTAAATATTTATTAATTATTAATTATGATACTAGATAATATATTCAGTAATCATTGTAATCTAATAAAATGTAGTATAATTTATTTAGTATCTAATCTTTTATCAATAAAATACAAATCTTTAATGCAATTAATTTCTTTTTTTAACATGCCATGAAAACGTTAATGAATGAATAAGTTACAGATGCATTAACATATTTACAGACTAGTCTTCATACAACTTGCCATTAGAGTATAGTTACACAATAAATTCACTATGTAAATATTTGTGTTTTGAAGAAAATTAATATTTTTCTCATTATTTCTGTTTGCTTTAGTGACTATTATAGTAATATTTTACTGTATACTAAATTGACTATATTTAGTAAATATAGCCAATTATAAAATATTATTTACCATATATAAATACATTATTTTAACTTCAAATATTATTACTTATAAATATATATTTTTGGGCATAAACATTTTTAAAATATCTTTTGATATAGTTTAATTAGAATAAAATACAAATTTAAACAAATTTAGCATTTATAAAATTTCAATACTTAAGGAAATAGTATAATAAGGAAACTAATATTCAAACTTATCATAATTTTAAATTAATTTTTATCAACTAAAATAAGTAAAATTTTAATTAATTAAGATTTATATTTGATTATACAAATGAGCTCAAAGTAGATTTTATTTTGTTAATTCAAAAGATTTAGAAATATTTTTATTCAAAAGTCAGAAGAGTATTTTAAAAATAAAACATTGATAGTTATTTTAAAATAAAAATATAATTTGTTTGATTTTTATCAATAGTAATATAATATTCTCAATAAGAAAATTATGTCTATTTAAAAATGTTCACAAGATTACATATTAAAATATATAACTATTTTTAGAACAAGAAGTAGGTACTTTAATATAATAATATTAACTCACCGCATCTGCCAATTGTTCATACATTAATCCAGACATGTAATTATTGTTTTGTTTTTTATTAACCACTACTGATCCATGTTGTGGCTCAATCCAACATTCTGTTATCAATTGGTAATCATCATCTATAGAATATTGAGAGCAACAGAAGTTACTACCATTAGCCTTTCCTGATTTTTGACGTTTTTCAAACTGTTGTTCTTCAGTTGAAGATGCTGACGATCTTTCATTATCTTTTTTTTTTTTAAATATATTAAGGATATTTGGATAATCATGGTCTTTTGGATGATGTTTTTGTAATATATTTGGTGGAAATAGAACATATTGAATGACACAATGGCTTGTTGGTGTACTAGGACAATATGGTGATCCCTAAAGTATAATCATAATATAAATCAATTTAATTTGTAAATATTTCTTTTTTTAATATTTATTTATTGCTAAATTAATTATAAATTATTTAAAAATTCAAATAATAAGATAAAGTTTCTTAAATTAAACAGATTTTTAAGAGCATAGTTATAATTTTATAAATACGTATATTTTTTACGTATTTATATTTATATTTATGTATATTATGTAATTAGGAATGTATATATATATATATATATATATTAAAATCATAAACAGTGAAATTTATCTATGAAAAAACTAAGTAATATTTATTATTATAAAATAATCCTCAATATAGTCAATGTAGTACTGTATAGTTTGATCACATTTTTTGGTTGATACGATTCTATCATGGACAATTTTTTTGATATTTTGAAATATTAGTTGAATTAATACTATTTTGAAAAATTCTAATATAGTTGATTTTTTATAATTAAGTTTTTCAGCTACACAGTTACTAAAAAATTATTTTGAAATACTAACTTCAATCATGTCTACTTGTAAAACCATGTTTATGATACCAGCTGATGAATGAGCAAATCTGAATCCTTCTCTCAATCGTATTCTAAAATTAAAAGAATAACATAAATTGTACTGTCATTATTTTATAAACATATAATAATTAAAGTTAAAAACTATAAAGAGTAACTGAGTACATTAAAAAAATATGATATTTTTACATTATTAATATATTTTGTAATAAATTATTTATATATAAATCAATTAATTTTACAGCTGTAAATAAATACAGTTCAGTAATGAAAAAGTAAGATTTGTAATTTATATTATACAAAATAAAAATGATAGCAGTTATTTCAAAGCATATTAAAACACTAGAATACATGTTTCTTATCAGTTTTTATTATTTATAGAAAAATTAGTTTAAATTTTTCCAAATGTATTTTTATTATTTAATTAAGAAAAAGGTAGACTATATGTAAATTATTATAGCTATAGTTAAAACTTACTTAGTCAAAACTGATAGAGTACGTGCTAGTTGTATTTGTAATTTTTGTGTATCATTATTTCTAAATTGACTACAACCACTACTCCAGATCCACCTTCTATGATACAAATAACGAGAAAGAGTGGTAGTCGTAGCAACAGCGCTGGGTTCTATTCCCGTTAATGACTCTTGAGAAGCATCATTCTTATTTTCACTATTTAATGTCATTACAGCAGGGCAAGGTTGTGAACCATCAGGAAATATAACTGTGGTAAATTCTGAAGGTATCTTTTCATATCTTAAAGTAAAATAAAAATATTAATTAAACATTATTGAATAATATTTTAAAAATTATATTATTAAATATTCAGATAAATGTTTTTTATTGGTTTACCGAATAAGAATCTTTTCTAATGGTTTATCCAATAAATAAATGTATCTTTGTGGTCTGGTCAATTTTTTTTTTACCAACAAACGATTGTTTTCTTTTTTTTTTTTTCTTTTAATTTTTTTCTTATTATCGTTAGCTAATAGTTGTTTGTTATCATCAGATGACAATGGTTTAACTGCGGTAGTTGAATCCAATAATTGAATACTTTTTTTTAAACTATCAATTATCTAGAAAATTTGATAAATATGATAATTTATGACAGTATAGATCACACATTAATTAAATTGTATATAATTTAAAAATATTTAAACCTTATTATGAATAGAAGCTGGAACACAACTTTGAAATGCTAAATGTAACACTACACAGCAGCAAGATGGGGGCCGCAATGAAACTCGTGCAATGCAAAATGATACGCTGTCATTGTGTGTTTCACTATTAACAAAAATATATATACCAAGTAGTAACAGTTTTTAATATTAAGTTGCCTACACTATTACTTTTTGTCTAAACATTTCACATAAGAATGATCATCAATCAAAACAAATGTACACCATTGCTTCAATAAAGCAAATAGTGATTCAGCTGCTTTCCTGCAAGTTAATGTTTGATAACGACCATTATTTATATTTGCCATGTGTAACCATCGAGGTAGTGGTCGATCGTGTCTTAATAATAATACACCACCTCCAATTCTGTAAGTAGAAAACCATTTAGGCCATTGTGAATCAGGGTCCAATGTACAAACAGGTTTCCAAAAATCAGCAAATTGTTGATGTTGTTGATCAGTATAGCTTTGTTGTTGATCACTAAAACGCATTATTTCTTTGTATTTTTGAATGAATACTATAGTTCATAGCTATAATGATAATTACTCACTTTAATTTCACTTGATTTTGCTTCACAGAAAATGAGGTGTTCGAATTTGTTGGTAAATGGTAAAATAATGGCATACCACTTCGCAATGGACTTCTGTTTGGAACTCCAGATGCTGAAAAGTTAACTGATTTCGCTTCTTTTGTCCCAGTATTTACTGCAATGTCTGCTTTAGAGTTGATGTTATTAGAACTATTTGGACTTTTACTAGAATCTTCTGTTTGTTGAATTTGTGGAGATACTGGACTTTCTTGTTTTACAGGTTGTTGTCGATCATGATTTTTATTTTGTTGATTAGATGTATTACAATTATTAAAATCATTTAAATGACCTGTACTGGGAGAATATGTTTCCAGATGTTTAACTAGTAAATCGGTTTGTACAATTGAATGCATAGTAGACCAAAATCGAGCTATTAAAGCTTGTCTATATTTTGAAGTAACTATTCTTTGAGGAGATGGTGTATCAGGTAACAAATTAGTATTTTTTGTAATGGTAGTTGTAGCAGCAGTTACAGCAGTAGATGATGATCGATAAGATGACAGTTGGAATTGACATTGTCTAGATAACTTTGATAGTTGCAGATATTTTTTATTTGTCCCGCATGTAATATCGTGTAGAAATTCATATGGACCTAAATTTTATAAAATAACAATTCTAAAATGTAGTTATTAAATAATTAACTGTAAAATAATTGTAACCTTTGACTACAATAGTATAATTAATATTTAAGCGCCCATCTGGTTGTGATGGCACTGGTGCTTGAGATGGTTGTGTTGTTGAAGATAATGGTATTTCTACTTCTGGTGTTTCTTCAACCACAACTGGCTGAGATTTGGTCATGATTGGTGGTGGCCACTTCATAGTTAAATCATATTCGATATATATATGATTAGTCCATGGTAAAATAAATTTCAATTGAAGTTTGCTTGTACTGTTCATATTAAGAACAGTTGGAGCATTTCCTGCATCTTTGAATTGAATATCCTATATTTATTAACATATTAATTATACTAACTTTAAAGAAAAACTCATGTTTTACAATCAATATTTAAAACTAAAAAAACGAAATTGTAATTAAATATGATTTAGGGTAATCAAATTAATTTTCCTACATGAATTATGAGTCAATAAAAATAATGAATCTCATTATTCAATATCCAAGAGTAGACAAAATTAAATTCTGAAAGTAAAGGTTTTTTGAAATATATTAAACTAGAATTTATTATTATAACCGCAACAACTTTAAATCAAATAAAAAATAATAATAAAATAGTTTTTAAATAATACTATATTGGTTTTTAAGTTCATTAGTTCAGTTGATTCGGCCTAAGTAATTTTTTTAATATTTTAGAAATATCTACAGTTAAAAATGTAATTAATATTTAATTTCAATCCTTTATTTAAAAGCTAAATCGTAATAACTTAAAATTAAAAATATATTCAAAGAAATACAATAAAAAATATAAAGTTTTAGGTATGTGTAAAAAAAATTAGTTAAATTTAAATATTTAAATATTTTTATAATATTAAGTTGTAATATAAAATACTGCTAAAATATTAACAAATTTTTATTAGAAATTATAAGAACCATTATTATCTTAAAATTTGTTTTTAACTCCAATTAAGAATTATATACATTTAAAAATTGATACATTGTTTAAGTTTTAAGTTATATAAAATACTGTAATATTTTAATTAACATAAAAACAATTAGTTCACTTTTTCAACAACAAAATGCTATAAAAAAATACAGCGGAATATCTAGCTCTATTAAAAGTCACAGAATTAGCTTTCTTTTCAGATATTCAATGTATAATCATATACATCGAATCTCAGTGCTCTCAAAAACTTAGATAGATAATCCTAGAAAAAAACAACTCCATTTGTATCCAAATATCAAATATACTATTTAAAATCAAAAAAGACATTAGATTCCTCGGGGTATCCAGATACAATAATATCCCTGGAAACGAAATTGCAGACGATATGGCTAAAAAGGCCGTTAACTAGCCGAGTTTTGGAATATAAAAACCCATTTTGATATAAAACACCTAATAAATACTAACCTTAATCAAAGATGTCAACAAAAATGTAGACTAGTTAACAACCACAAACTGAGAGAAATTAAATCATCCACCCTCTCATGGGTGCACGACGTGTCACTCCCACACAGATATCAAACCATATTAAACAGATTACGAATTGGTCATACATTAACACACATGAACATCTAATGAACAAAAAGAACAGCGTATATGCACCTCAAGCAACACAACATCTACTGTTAAACACTTGTTAACTGAATGCCTCCTGATAAATGACTCCAAAGACAAACGAATACTCCCCAACAATCTTTGCGAAATACTAACAACAAACATAGAAAGAACATCGTCGCTTCTGGAACGCCTAAAAGAAACGAACCTATTTCAAAAAATAACTTGAAAACCCAGATACACCGCAAATAATTACAAAATATTACTTATTAATAAACTTATTGTATCATTTTAAATATTGTTTATAAATCATTAATTGTAATGTACTGTAAAAACTACAAAATGCAATTTATTCACTCAAAAATGCCAATAACCCTGGTAGTTAAGGCGTATTTATAAAATAAAATGCTAAAAGTATTTATTGAAGAAACATTTAAAACTTCATAAGTTTTGTTATTTAAATGAATAAAAAAAATTATAAATTTAAAAATAATGCATGCTATAAAAATTATCAATAGCTAAACTCTTAATTAATCAAAGAAACAAAATATTTAAATTAATATAATACTAGTATGAATAATTATTTTTTACTACAAGAAATAAGTAAATACCTCGATTAAAAATCCTTCGCGCATTCTGCAACACACAATATTATCAAGATGCGCTTGGACATGATCACTTAGTTGTCTTTTAGAAACTAACTGCGTTTGTCTGTTACCATAAAAATTTGAATTTCTAAAAAAAAAAAAATTAATATTGTTAATAGCTACTTATATGATAAGATTGAGTATACTCGTAATAATATATGCAATGTGTATACACAATATTGATAATAACCTTACAGTCCATTCACCATGACGAATTCGTGGTGGGGTACAACTAAGATTTGTTGTATTTGGAGTCCTACTAGCCTCTCCTCTTTTAAATGACCACATGATAAATTTATCATGATAATAGTTAACAGCTAAATTATGAATTGTTCTTGGAAAGGAGTTTAGATAAGTACCAGAAGTGGCTGTTGCTATAAGCTGCATCAGCTCTGCATATGGCACATTTCCATGACCTGAATGTGGATGAAACTGACTAGATACATGTAAAAATGAACATGCTACTCCAATACATCTTAATTGATTCAGAACGGAATCAAGAACTTGTATATCAGCCAAAGTAATCATCCCATCAGTAATAACAATCAAATCTAAAAATAAATGTAAATATTATCTATTACCTAAAACATTATTATAAGGACACTTTAATTTCTACAACAACATATAATATTAATAATCAAATTAATGAAAAACAAATATAAAAAATAAATATTGAGTTATTGTTTATTAATAAACATTTTAAAACAATTTTTTTATTTTTTATGTAAAAGTACTTAAATTTTTATTTTGTACATATTTTTTTTGAAGTTACTTATTAATGTAATTTTTATGACATCTTATAACGAACTGTTAGATTCCTTAATTTGTTTATTTTCATAAATTTAAGAACTCCTTGTCGATTTAATAAGTTATGCATCAAAAAACACTTTTAAGTAGATATTTTGAAAAAAAAGTTAGTGTTGTGAGATGTAATTAAACACAAATTACCTAAGCATTTTCAGTTTTCTAGAAAACTATTATTTCTGTAGTATAACTTTAACAATATTATAGTAATATTATTAAGTAATAATAATAAAAAGAAACACTCTATAATATCAAATTTAAAAAGAGCATATTATAAAATATTATAATTTATCACTTTAATGCAATGAATGTCTTACCAAAAATGAAATGGAACTAGAAAAAAGTTAATATAATTCATTGATAGTTAAAAAATATTCATAAAGTTATGAAGTAGAATTGTATTCAACTTTGTTAGTTTAGCTGTTTTATTGTTGTTTTAAAAATTACTTCATAAAAATGTAATATAATTTGATCAATCATTTTTGAAAATCACTCGAACATATACAAAATAATCCTTATTTCAAATTGAAAAATTATATACATAATATTATTATTGCTATTATGAACTAATATATACTGGATTAAATATCAATGTTCATAATAGAAAAATTTAATACCTATTCATTATTATAGGTAATAAAAGAAAAAAGAACCCATATTGACTAATAACCTTCCTCAAAAAACTGAGATCACAAATGTAATAACTATATGTCTACCTTAATAATTTAAACTAATCCATTATTAAAATACATTAAAAATACTTATATCATAAACAATATATTAATATTTATAATAACTTATTTTATATTTATTTACTTGAATACTTCTGAATAATGTCAGATAGAATTTGGATTATTGAAGTATTACGACCCATTAATGGTAATAATTATCACCAAGTAGAATAATTAGTTAAGACAATTACAATTTAAGCTTTAAACCAAAAGAATAAATATGTTAGTTCTAAAAATATTAGACAACAATATTTCAATATAAATTAAGTAAATGTAAATATATTTATAATTTTCAAATTGTATTTAAAAATAAGTAAACTTAATATTATTAAATGCAATTATTTAAGAAATACTACGTTTATATCTGTATTAATTTAAAATAGGCCTCAAAAAATATACTTAAAAATTACTTACTTGATATACTAGTACGTGGTAATAATCTAACAGCTAACATGCCATATCTTAAAGTGTTGATAAAACCTGAATCAGGACTATTATTTCCAACAGACAATACATTTTCATCATTAATTGTTACATTGCGATGACTTATATTATTTATGTCAATGTTCATATTCATACTATTATTACTACATTTTTGAGTTTGTTTTTTAGGAAATGCACTATTTTCTTCATTTCCTGATGTACTATTATCTTCATCTTCATCATCAAAACTCTACCAATAAAAATTAATCATTAGTATATTGCTAAAAAACTATATATATAAAAAGATTATATTATTTATAAGACCTAAAATGTATTAATTTAACAATTATTTTAAACACCATAAATTATAATATTTTATTTTTTCCAATGAGGGAGGATCCCTTAACTAATCTTTCATAATATCAAAAACCTTGAAAGCCAATTTTGCTACAAATAAGGAATTTAAAACAAATCCAATTTTCCTCAAAGGATACATATGCTCATACTATTGAAAGATTCATTATGCATCAATTAAAATAATGTGAATCTTAGTGCTTTGTTACGTGGTACCCAATAAAAACAGGTACCACGTAACAGCTTACAACATTATTTCAATATAATGTAATAAATGTTATATATTAAAATTTGATTGTTCAAGTAAATTTGTTTTTAATAGTAACAGAAACTTAATAATACATGAATTATATTATAGTTTCTTCAGGTAATACTCCAAAAATATTTTAAATAAAAAACATTTTTTAAAGAAAATATTTTTAAATAAATACCTTAGCTTTACGAATAATTATTTTTGTGTTTGCTAATGAATTTTCTAGATTATTCATTTCTAATGTAACTGTATTAATGAATTCATTAAAGTTACGGTTGTTGATAAGCCATCCTTGTACCAGTACCTAGTAAAAAATATGCATAACATTCTTCAACATTATTTATGTATACAGGCATACTCAAAAAATATGTTAAGTATTATACCTGCTGAGCTAATGAGGTATAAAATGGTGTATGTACTATAACTGTGACATATACTTGTGGTTCAAATACAATCTTATTAGATCCAGGCACAATAAACTATAAATAAAAAGTAATTTGGAGTTAAATGGCAAAATAATAACAAATAAATTATACTATACCGGCCTAATAAACCCTTCAACACTTCTGCTCAGTGCTAGAATCATTTCGTCAAGCATTACATGACCTCTTTGAATGTCCTATTTAAAAATTAAAAATAATATTAATTGAAATTATTTGTAAAAATATAAATAAAAAAATTTTCAGTAAGTAATCTTACCACTGAACAGTTAGATGGGCTCATATCCAAACAATAAACCATATTATACACTGCTGTCAAAAAATAAACACGAGTAAGAGCGTCCATAACAAAAATAGAGTTTTCAAATCTGTTTTTGATTAGAATTTCTTGTCTAGGTATAAATGACATGATTTTACATTGTTCTGGTGATTCAGCAACTAAATCTTCATCTACCATCTGTATGGTACCTAGACGTTTCAGAAACCACATCACACGCATATCTGCACTCATTGATCTATTTTCGTCAATCAATACATACACACAAGAAGCAATAGCATAAGATCCAAGAGGCAGTAGTCGAGGTACAGGATAATGGAATACATTGTTATTGTCATTTTGTTGCTATTTTAGGAATAAAACCAGAATAAATTTAGTAATGATTTACGTTGATTAATGAACAAATGTGAACAGATTTACCTGCATATGTGTGCTATGAACATTTACTAAATTTAACGAAGGACTGTCAGGCTCCATCAACGACGTTATCATGCTGTTGTCCTCTGTTTCCATTGCGTGGGTGGTTTATTCACTTTTTTCTTCAATTTTTTTCCATTACGAACTTGGATATACCTTGGAATGGTACTAAACGTTATTGACGTTGGGTAGAAAAACAGTCATTTTTTTAGTTTTTTTACATAATATGTACATTACTCACGACAATATTATATGAAGTGTACTACAACATAATTAATCAAATATCTAGTTAGTGAAAAATATCAATAATAGTACAGTTGAACATAGTAAATCAATTTATTTTTTTTATAATTTTTTCGGTATCGTCCGATCGCCGTTTCCGTCGTACAATCGCGGCACACGGTACGTATTATAAAATAAACGTCAAATAACAATAATAATTGCTATTATAATTAATAACTATTAGTTTGCGATAAAGGCAATAACTACAGCGTTTGATAGTTGTTATTATGAAACATAATACTAAATGAAAACAACAATGATAAGGACATGTTCGCGACGCACGTGCCCATAAATTTCAGTGGCTACGCAACAGCTGCTGGTGATAAGCAAAATATAACGTACTTGATAACGAAGCGAACAATTTTTTCGTTGACATTTTATTAATTATTGTTTTTTATTTTTCTTAGAAACTTTATAAGCATTGTTACTTTATAATAATTAGTTCGGAAAACATCGTATTATTCTATATCTTTGAAGTTTTTTTTGTTTTTTCATTAAAAAAACGTCTTAAAATATTGTTCTACGCGAAAACGACGACAGAGATTATTGTAACTACCGTATAATAACCACATTACTGTTATAAATCGTACTTTGTCGGCAGGCGTTGGTATCAAATGCTAAGTTCAAAATATTAAACGTACGTGAATTACGTAAACGAATGTGTTCACAAGTCGGTTAAGTTGTACTATAGGTACGCGGCGGCGATCACGACTGCGACGAAACCTATACACCGACTTGCACATCGTCTACGGGCTAATCAGTCGGCCGTAACAAACGTTGTCCGTTGTCCGCGCGCCGACGGCGCACGGTTATCGCGGCATAATGATGTACAAGCCGATAATTATTTCGACGAGTTTTTTTTTTCCATAACCATGCACATAGGCGAAACTAGACACTTTTATTAGGTTAGACCAAATAAAAAATATAAAAAGTATTATTACGTAAAATTAACTATTATTTCCTATAATATAAATATAAAAATAAACGTCAAATGTCTAAATTTGAAAAAATGTCAAATGTCTAAACAATAACTAATAAAACAGATTATTCGAATACATAGAATAGACTTATTATATTCTATTATAATTCTTATTTATACCAATTGTACCTATATAGGTACTATATTATATTATATTATTATATGAAACGTACAAATGTATACGTTTACATGTATAAATATATTATTTATAATGCCTAAATAATTATTAAAATATATAATATATACATATTTTTCGTTAGTATTAGGTCAGGCCATGGCCTAGCTGGTCTGACCCGTAGTTTCGCCTATGGTCACGCATGCCGAATTTCATAGTGTAGAACGAAATAAAAATATTATTATAAACGTAATAACTAATCGATCGAAATTGTTTATGAACCATCCAAGTCGAATGGCCATCCTCGGAAGAGAATGGTCGGCTCAGAAGAAATGCTATACTAACTACTCCGCTTGGTTAAACACAAAACGGACAAATTAAAACTTGTCCTAGTTTCGATTTTTGTACCATACCATTTTCAAAAATATGTATATATATTACTCTTTGAGATATAATATTGAAAATGAAAATATTATTTTTGAGGACCTCCGACAATATTTCGCCACCTCTAGGTTGAAAACTACGGCTCTACACGAATATTATTGAAGGAAACAAATATAAAGTTTATACTATAAAATTTGTTACAATTATAAATATTAAATTAAATATTTATTATATATAACCTACTCGTACTTCAATAATAATGATACTGATAGCATGTTTTGTTTATGAATGGAATAAATTTTAAATCACAGATATAAATTACATATTTTAATACTTATATTTATGTATACCTATGTTTCAAATGCACAGAATATTTTAAATCATATACATGATTTCATGGAAAAATTAATCGTAATCACCAATTTTATCCTGATATAACGTACAATAATTGTTAAATAATTTAAATTATTAAATTTATATTTTCAAAAACTATGAAAATTTATAATAAATCAATGGTTAAACTTTAACGTTATTTTAAAATCATACTTTTTTTAAAAATCCCAATTACAAAATTTTGTATTTTTTTTTCAAATTGTAGACCGAAATTGAAAATTTTCAAATTTTAGTTCTAAATACCAAAAAATGTTTTTATACAATTTTTTTGTAGCACAGGACTTAAGTATTTATTAAAAAAAAAAAATTTAAAAATAATAAACAGAACGAAAGTTATTCCATTTGTCGAATCATTCTAGAACACCTTGTATATATTATATTCCTATCATCAGGGAAAGATAGGGAAAAAAATTACCGGCAAAATATTTAATGGGGTGGCACATGGGCATTATTTTTTCTACAAATAGAATATATCAGAGATCTCAAGTCTTTAAGTACTGTATGTTAACATTTTTTTCCTGATGAAATCTAAAAACAATAAAATTCTTCACAAGACTATGTACTTAAGTACATAAGTTATAGATATACGATAGATGAACATTATAAAATAATTAAAATTTAATACATTAATAGCTAGTTTATTGAAAACTATAGTTTAATTTTGTTTAATTTAACTAAATTAAAGTATTAATTTAAGTATTTTATTAAATTAAAATATTATAGTTGTATTTAGATTTTTTTTTATTATTATTATTGTATATGTTATATGTTTTTCATACAGAATACTTACTACAATTTAAAAAATAAAAACTGCGTCACGCTAAGCTTGATATTTTTGACATTGAGGAGTTTAATTTTATCTACTATATTTAAATAATTACATTCCAAGAAAATAATAGGTAGAAAAATGATTAATTTAATATTAAGAAAAATTATTAAAATTAAAATGTATTATAATTTTTAAATATTACAAAAATAACTTTTTTTGAAGTGTAATACTTTTTATTACTATAATATTTATAGTATCCTCATTACCAAAATGTGATAAATATCTTTTTTTGAAACCACAAACATGAAGCATTCTCAATATGCTTGTGCTAATAAATTTTTTAACATTAAAAATTATCGTTCGAAAAAAAACTTATGTAGATAACTGACATTGTCAAAATTAATTTGTAACATCTAAATAACCCAAGATAAACTCCACTAAACCAATTATAATAAACTATTACCTTGTAAGTAACAACATACTGTACAACGGCTTTCATCATGACTGTTGTTATATTTTTCAAATTGATTATCATTACCGTTATCAGAATCATCTTTTATTTCATATGTAAACTCAGAATAATGTGACTGAATACTTTTATTTATATTTTACCATTTATAACGAAAATACTTTGATTTAACTTCAAAACCATTAAATTCTAAAGTAAACAAAAATTCGAAAAATAATTTAAAATACTTGTTTTAGAACAATTGGAGGTAAACTGTCGGCAGTGGCGAAATTATAGGGGAGGCAATGGGAGGCAAGTGCCCCCTCTGACCATTTTTTGAGAGATAAAGATATAATTTTGCCCCCCCCCCGGATAATCCAACAATACAAATAGCACTTTTTATTGATGAACTTTTATGGATATTATTTAACAATATTGGTACCTAGTACATGCTACCTACAATTTATGTTTATCTAAACCATAAAATGAGTTAAAAGTCTTATGTAAAATCAAACAATTAGATATAGTGTATAAAATACATACTACAAAAATATGTTCTAACTGGTGAGGGGGAGGGTTATCAGAGTTTTGGTAATAATAAAAATATTATATTGCCCCTCCCCCTTAGGTTTTTTCCCACTTACGCCACTGACTGTCGGAATCAATGGTCTTCAACCGGTGGATCACGACCCTATTTTGGGTCGTGTAAACTTTAAGAATGGGTCACGATAAATCTTCAGTTTTAAAATTTTAAAGTTCATATACCTACCTAACATCATATTCATAACATTCATAACCTAACATTATAATTATATCATATATGTATTTCATATGACATCAGATAAAATAATTTCTAAAATAATTTTAGATTAAACTCGAAACCATACTATTTTGTAGAAGATAAGAGTGAATGTCAAATGAAGTAATGGTATAGCGATAGCCTGACTTCATCGATAAAATTTATTTACCTGTTATTTATCTTTAAATTACACAATGTAAAGTTGAGCCGAGATTGAATATTTTCTGTGAAAACATTCAATGTCCAATTACGCAATATTTATTTATTTTTTTGTATCAGTACAAAAATTTTTTTATGTTATAACTTGTATTGAAAATTAAATATTAAGTATATACCCACCTAGAAAAATTACATTTTTATTTATTCAGTTATAAAAGCACTTATACAATGGCATATATTAGGCAATTTTAACTTTTTTTTTGGTTTTCATGACTAACGAAACTAACATGGGTCGCAAAAAATATACGGTAAAAAAAGTAGGTCAAGAATCAAAAAGGTTGAAGACCACTGGTCTGAATAATCTTGGAAATGTTTAGAATCAAGATATGAAAAGTCTATACATAATGAACCGTGTTCTGTATACCTTTTTTCAAAACTATAATTTAAACATCATGTTACGAGAAAATAATCTTTTTTTTTTTTAATCCGTATGGACGCATTACGATATCGTTAGTTGTATTAAATAGTATATTATTGTTACAATTGATTTTATATTGTTCTCATTGCGACAATAAATAAAACGATCAGACATAATAAGCAATAACAATAATTATGTTTCTAATCACAATTTATTTGAAGCTAAACTGTATTAATTTTATTACGTAATTTTAAGTGAAGATAAGATTAATGTCTTAAAAGTTAAAACCTCTTATGGACTCCAACTAAATAAAATATAACATCATACTGCCATAAAAAGGGATGCACCGAGAAAGTCCTTATATCCCAGTAGACCTCTCCTCCTTAGATTATTATAAGTTGACATAGGTATTTATTTTACGATGGGGAAGTATTGGGGAAACTCGATCCCATTTCGCTGTCGGTTCAAACAGAAAAAAATAGGCATTTATTTTACGTATCTTTATCTATAATATTTAATTTAAAAGGAAATATACTGCTTTAAAAATCCATATGTTACATATTGAGTGGACAAAAAAAAAATTTCAATTTCAATTATGAAGGTTAGAATTGTTTAAAGAATAAAAAAAATAACAAGAGAATTTATACTATAAAAAAACTTACATTTAAAAATAAAAATAATAATATACAAATAAATAAACAAATCGGTAAGGTATGTATAAAAATAAATAAATTCTTAGTCTGAAGTATTATCATATTTAGTAAATACGACCGGTTTCGAATTAAAAATTCATCGTCAGGTATAATATACCTGATATATATAATATATACTTTATATAAAGTCAATAAAATATCGACTGAACATTAAAAAATAAAAGAAGTAATACATTGAGAAAAATTGGTTGTTTTACATATAAGATAATTTATTTTAATAGGAGGCTTTAGCAAAATTTGAATTAAATATCTTTTATAAAATAACCATCATATACATTTTGATATCAATACAGACTTAGAAATATAAAATACTCAAATTAACCATAACATTATTTCAGTTTTAGAAAAGTTACTAATTCCCTATGAAATAAAG